GAGAGAGAGAGAGAGAGAGAGAAGAGAGGGAAGAGAGCACTTGATAGGAGTACTGTAGCATGCACTGCCTTGAAAGGAAATTTACTAACCTTCTCCAACTATATCTTCATTGTCTCCCCATAAGTTGGAGTCCAGCATTGCACTGCTCCCATTCACTTTGGCTGATGAAGTGTCCAGGGACTGTTGGCTTCCTTTCATTTTCCTTTTGAATTCTTGTTGCTTTTCCTTCTGCTTCCTTTTTCTTTCCAATCTTTTTTCCTCATCTGAGAGCAGATTATTCTCACCTGACTTTGCCGGTGATTGGACAATCATGTCCTTGGTAAAACCCACAAAGGAATTTGGTGAGCTGACCCTGTCTGGCTGTTCTGGGTAAGGGGTGTTGTGTGCTTCCAATGGTGGCATGACACTGGGCTTCACCTCTGTTTGTTCATTTGTAGATGTATGTGTGTTCTGTTTTTTTCTCTCATTCATTTTTACTTCTGGATGTGCCTGTTCTGTTTTGATAAACGGTTTCTCACTGACTGAGTTCCCACTTTGCGGGGAAGAAATCTTGTTAAAAATAGTAGAGTTGATGAGATTAGCTGCTGATGGAGACTCAGATTTAATGGGAATGCAGATTTTCATGGGATGGTTTGAACTAATATTATCTGATGGATATTTCATTGCTATCATGGTTTTATTCATCAGTGAAATGGCATTTCCTTGCTGATCAGAAACCTTGTTCTGTATTACACATTTTGCTGATGAGGAGTCTGCCTGTTCTGTCTTCCCTACATAGTTTTGATTTCCTCTATTATCACTTGCATTGTTATTGCTGCTTATCAAGCTTGCATTACTATTTCCTTTAGGTTTTTCTTGGTGTGATGATATTTTGCTTGCGGGAGGAACAGCCACATTTGCTTTGCTGGAATTTGCTGAATGAGAAGCAATGGCTCCCTGATCCTTTCTTGTTTTCTGAAATAGTATAAATATAATCAATGAAGTAATTGTGTTCCCTTGAGGTAATATCTATCAGAAACTATAGGACTGTTTTGGCAAAACCTAAGCCCATCAGTCAAGGCAAACCTGAATCCCAAAGCGGCCTTCTTCTAAGGCTCTCCTTCGAATCTGCTCTAAGCCTGTTGATGTCTCCTGGTGTAGTAACTCCCCTGCAGTGATCCCAGGAACAGGGGCAGCAGGAGCTTTACCAATGAAGCGTAGGTAGTCCTTGTTGCTCAGGCAGTTACCCAGGGCATTGCCAAAACTTTTAAGAGCACGCTTCATGCCATCTGTAACTGCTTCCTGTTTGGAGAGAGAGAGAGAGAGAGAGAGAGAGAGAGAGAGA